CCGCTTATGCAAATGAAGCCCGGGAAATTCAAATCCCGGGCTTCATTTGCAAGTGCAGTATGCCTACATTACCCCCCTAGTTCGAACTAGCGGGGTAGTGTAGACATACCCTAAGGCATTTTGAGATCTGTGCTAGATAAGAACTAACTATTACGATTATTTGGAGTTGAGGTTTTGCATGAGAAGCACATGAGATGTCAATGCCCTCACATCCAGGCCCAAATGTTAACTCTGGGAGCCACCACTAGCAAACTGGGAAGCCCAGACTGAACCTAATCCACACCCTCAATCTTTCCTTGGCCCATCTGCTCTCTGACAAGTAGGGCATTTGAGGATGGAGGGAACCCAGGCCTACCCTCTACTCCAGGTTCTAGCCTAGGGACTCTGTGATAGCAGCTGTCTACAATGTCTCCAGTATCACCTGTGTAACAGCCATAGTTCCCTAGGCCACTTTCCCATGGCCCTCCCAAGCACCTTCCTTACCACAAACTTTTTCTCCTGGGACCTGTTTGCGATTGTTCCTCCTGGACCGTTGATGACACCTTCACTCCTCAGCTTCTTGCTCACAGTGAGCTCATAGAAGGGAAGTCTTTTTATCTAGTACTAGCTGGTTCTTAAGTGGCTCCAGATTTTCTCTCTTAATTGGTTCTAGAAAGTACCTGATTGACTTCGGATATCTTAAATGGCACGTCTGTCTTAATGGATTCTGCCAAGTTCCTGACTGCTCTGGATTAGCCCTTTTTACCTCACCCAGGGAATGGAGACCTATTTTAATCTGGGGCTAATATACTTGCTTTTTATAACTCTCCTGGGGTATGTCTACACTACCACCCTACTTCGAACTAGGGTGGTTAATGTAGGCATACGAACTTGCAAATGAAGCCCAGGATTTGAATTTCCCGGGCTTCATTTGCATGTTGCCGGGTGCCGCCATTTTTAAATGTCCGATAGTTTGGACTCCGTGCCCACGGCTACACGCGGCACGAACTAGGTAGTTTGGGTTAGGCTTCCTATTCCGAACTACCGGTACTCCTCGTGATAGAACGTTTCTTCTAAACAATCTGCTCTAGGAATTGTTGGTGAAGGCTGCACCACAAGTGGCCAGAGGAAGAGAAGGGAGTACAGCATGAACCTTGGGGCCATCTCCTTTGTTGTTTGCCACCTTTTCATTTTGGGTTGGACTTTGGCAGCCACTACAACTGAACAAAAAGCTGAAGAGAAACATTGACAAAGCGGTGTCGGTGACTGAGGAGCCTATGTCCGACTGACACTCAAGAAGGCATTGGGCCAGATTTTTAAAGGCAAGGAGACCAGATGTAGGTGCCTACAGACTTTTAAAAATCTGCCCCTTCGATTTCTAGGAACAAAGTCACTTTGGAACAACGGGACGTCAGCACCCCAGTAATTCTGGTGCTTGAAAAAGAAATGTCCAGCAGAGCTGTAACTCTGGGAGCCACCAGAAAATAATGGTTTGATGATTTTGGAGGCAGAAGAATGATGGATCAAAGGGAAAGAATATACAACATGGGCTATCTTGTGTCTTTAGGCAGAACCATGAGAAGGGGAGATACACGTCCCATTCCAACCCAGGAGTGACTTTGGGAATTGCTGTGCCTCCGACACCCCCGCGCTAAGTCACAATGACTCTCCCAGATCTTCCTGGCCTGGGGAAGGAGACCAGATGCCAGCAGGAGATTTTGGTAACCCCAGGCTGGCTCAGCTGCACCAGTAACTGAGTAGAGAAGCCAAGATTCTGCTTGTTCCCCAACCACCTACTCTCGGTGAGGGGGATATCAGGCACATGATCCCTTTTACGCAGCTGGGATCAAGAGCCAGAGAACGTAGGTAGAGGAGTAAAGGGGGTTCTTACTCCCTGGAATGGACCCATAGCCTAGCTCTTTGGGATCTGTGCCTCTTCTCTCCAAGCAGAGTTCTCTGCCGACAGCCACTCTCCCCTGTTCTGAGAGCGGCTGTCAGGTGACAACAATGGGGCGGGGGTCCTGATTCACAGTCACCTGTCTAGTTGGGATTGAAATTAAGTTTCTCTGGCAAATTGTCTTCTCCACCCCATCAGCTTTCAAACTAAGAGTCAGTGTTTTGTAAAAGCTCTGCTCTGGGGACTCTTCAAGGGCAGGTCTTTGGCCTGCGTCCTCTGCGGGTCATTGTCTTGGAATCTATGACAAACAAGCCAGAGTACCTCAGGAACACAAAGGCCTTCTCCTCAGAGCCCTGCCTCACAATGTGAGGGGCTGGGGGTTTCTCACCCCGGGCTGAACGCTTGTCCCAATCTCTCCCTGCCTCTCCTGACGCAAGCCACACTACGGCTAGGCGGCGGCAAGAAAGAGATGGAACCGGGTCAAGAAAAACAACATTCACGCTCCCTTTGTGAGCGAGGCTCCGTCGTCTCTCCTCACAAACAACAACACGAACATCTGTCAGCTCCCTTGGCAACAGCACAGGTTGCTGTTTGTTGTGGTCGGGGCAGCGAAGGCTGCCAGAACCATACTTTATCGACCTGGTACATCAGCAAAATGGGGGTGGGGTGCCTTGCCAAAATGAAAATCAATTCCCCCAAGCCAAAAACTGAATTATTAGCAACGATGGGCATTTAAGGCTCTTTAAAGCAGCACTGCATTTACAGTGAAAGTTGCTTCTGCAGACCGGGGCTAACAGAACAATGAGATATTGACTAAAGGGACCCTCTTTGCACCTCAAGGAACAATTCAGCATCATGAGAGTAGATAAATACTGCAAGGAAAAGCAGCAGGAAAAACTTGTGACCGCACCATAAATATCATCAGCCTACTGCAATTGTAAACACTTTTCGGCCAGGTTAACACCTGCAGACTCGAAACCATCGCTTATAGCTGCTGAGGGCTTGTATGAATCACCCTGAACCGGTTTGCTACAGAAATCATCAGGAAAGTGATAGGGCTGTATTCACAAGGGATTTCATACCACGGACACAATTCTTGCTCTCCTGACACACAGCGGCTACAAGAATGACTTTTACTTTGCAAACGAGGCCTCATCCA